GACTACTCTGCCATTGACTGCAAGTTTGGGGAGTGTTTTGCAATTTGTTGACTCTTCTGAAAATGCTTTAAATTTTGTAGGTTGGCATAACCATACACTGGGTCTGAAATTTCTTAAAGCCATCTGGACCATTTAAGAGCCTCTCTAAACTTCTGTGGTGAGAATTGGTAGGATAAAGCAACAAATTACAGAGGGTCATAACTTTAAAGTTTCTTTCATACTGTGTACCTCCTAGAATAACTCTGAACAAAAGGAGGACTAACAACAGAATCTTGGAAGGATATTAAAATAGTCCAGATGAGGGATTAAGAATCTGAGCCTAGTCTTTTAGAATAGAAATGGAAGGGGAGGATACATTTGAGAAACATTTAAAGACATAGTATTAACAGGATTTGGTGTTGAGGAAGTTTTTTTCCTTGAAAGTAGAGTTAAAACATTTTGAAATGACCAAAACATCTCTGAAATTAAAAACAGTTCTGCATAAATGTTTAATTTCTTTCTGCGCATTTCAGCCATTGAAGTAGTTTATTAAAAATGTATCTTTATTGTTTAAAGTATTACAAATGTCCCCCCACTTTTTCCTCCATTGCCCCCTCCACCTTTCTCCACCCCACGCCCCAGGCCTTTTCCACACTATTTTGTGTGTCCCTGGATTATACATATATGCATATAAATCCTTCGGTTAATCTCTTTCTGCGCTCCCCTCCCCACGTCTCTTTGAGATTCCTCAGTCTGTTCCATGAAGTAGTTGTTTCATGAATCTTTTTCTCAACCTTTAAAAAATATTATTCAGAAATATCTTTGTTTGAAGAAAATTACATTTTATTTTATGGCTTATTTATAGTTTAATTGCAAACTAGATTTTGTTCATCAGCCCTCTTCACTATTAATTACCTGTTAATTCCAAGGAATTTTAGTAATCTAATTAGATAAATGGGACTTAACTAAAACCCAGAAAAGTCTATTTACCTCACAACTATTCTCAACTGCACCAGCCTGATATTAATAGGCTGTTGTGCTAATATTGTTTTTCAATTATGTCTGTTTAATTGTAGGACCCCTCAATCTTTTGGAATTGCGATAGTGCAGATATAGATATAGATATAGATATAGATATAGATATAGATATAGATACACACATACATACGAGCATAAGTGTAGTTGTGAGCATAAAATAAATTTATATACTTTATTATCCAAATAAATATAGTATTGAAGTGATATGGCAGTAAGATTAAATAATCAGCACTGAATTCTCAGGGGTCAGCTGTCAGGGAATTCTAACTACAATGATTCCATTAATTTTCTTAAAGCTTTGAGAACTTTGAATATAATCTTTTACAAGGAGAAACCTTTCCTACACCTCCCACAGGCACATTTAGTGGCTCTCTCCTGTGCATTCTCTTAGCATCTTATGCACACCTCTTTTCAAGTCTTACTGTACTATAGTTATTTATTTACACGTCTGTCTCTCTCCCTAGATGGAATTCCTTTATGGATGGGACCATGTCTTGTTCAAGTTTATATCCCTAGGTCACAGTGCCTACCACGTATTCACCATTTAGTTTATGTTTATGAACTATGCCTTCATTCAATGAATAATTTTTATACTCAAGGAACCTAGGTGTGAATGGTGAATGAGAAAATTACCACAGGTATCCTTTTAAAAAGGATACTGTGTATTGCATTTAAAAAATGTTTTATAAATTGATTACATACAGGTTCTCAGTAATGCATCCACTTGCACACATCATTAACTTGGATAATTCTGAGTTATTATCATTAAAGCACTTTGAGGTTCAAATTTATTAATAAATATTGAGACATGAAAAGGCATTTAGAGCACTATGAAAAATATTCATGGGCTGCCCTGGCCAGTAGCTCAGTTGGTTAGTTGGTTAGAGCAGCAACCCAGTACATCAAGGTTGTGGGTTCGATCCCCCATCAGGGCATATACAAGAATTAGCCAATATATAAATGCATAAATAAGTAGGAACAACAAATCCATGCTTCTCTCTCTCTCTTTCCTTTCTCTCTCTAAAATAAATAATTTTTAAAAAACATTCATGCACCTACTATTCAGTTTAAGGGCTAAAACCATTACTGTTAAAGCTCACTACATACTTCTCCCCAGTCTCATCCTACTTCCGTCCCAGCCTGGATTTGGTGATGTTGGTCATTCCAGCACATTTCTCTATACTTTTACCATCTATACTTGTAATTCTGAACACTGTGTAGCATTGTATTGCCATGTTTTCAAACTGTTATATGGATAGTATCACATCCATAAGGTATCCATTGTTACCTTTTTTTCCCCTCAACATTTTATTTGTTAGATTCAGCCATGTTGATAATTGTATTTCTACTTTTTTATGGGTCTATTCCACTGAATGAATTAACTAAGCATTCTCCTGTTGATGGATTTAGGACATTTTCAGTGTCTTTAAATAAAGTTTAAAAGATGCTTTAAAAAGTCCTTGCTAATAAGCCAACCAATGGTGCATATTTGGAGATTTAAACTATTTAGGGAAGAGATTCTACTTTTGTTTTAGATTTTTTACATTTTTGGCCTAGTGTTTGGGATCTAATAATAAATGTGCTAATCGGATTTTTATTTGCTGAATTACGTTGGTTATTTTTTTATGACTGACCTTCTAAAGAAAATTTGAAGCAACTTATAGTTAAACAAAAAATACTTAAACCAAAATAAATACAAGTACCATGTTATTTCAGAAAACCTAGACCAAGGTCTGCATTATCGAAGACTAAGGATATATAGACCTCTTCCCACACAAGACTACTATCCCCATATTATTATCATATATAAAAATTTTACTGTCATATAAAAAAATGTTACTTTTTAGGTGTTGAAAATTAATCATAATTTAATTATGACCTTAATTAAGGAAGATAGTCAGATTACATACAAAACATTCATTTTAAAATTTGAAAATATTTCTTTTTAATAATAATTAGGCAGTAAATCATTAGACTTCAAACAATTGCACTTTGGAAAAAAGATGTATAGACAGTGGTCAGTGGCAGAATGACAAGATATTTAGCCAACTAAAAACAAAATCAGGTACAGATAATGAGTTCTGACATTATAAAATTTGTGACAAAATACTTTTAAAAGACAGCTCTTCTGTCTTAGTTTCTTTCAATGAGGGAGGTCCTCTGAAATGCAACTGCTCAATCCCTTTATCGGTGTTTGGACAAATTATTAAATTATCTAGTCTTCCATAGGCTTTACTATATTTGTAAAGTGTAGTTATTGGCCTCTACCCAGATTCAGATGTTAGAGATTAGCCCAAAAGCCGAGTCCTTATTGAAACAAATTTAGGTAGAGTAACCACTGAGCCTTTCCAATTCACATTGCTGTAATCTATTGGATTTCTTCGAATGAGACACATGAGGATGCTATAATAAAGACTTTGACAAAGGGTCCCTAGAGTCACGGTGTATGTTTAGGGCATCAAGTTTCTCAGTCTGTAGAAATTCTTACGTAAATTAAGAAAATATATTCCAATCTCATGTCAGACTTAGAACTGGCATCCCTGAATAAGATTGTTTCATGAGGAAATTGAATGGCCCGTGGCCAAAGCAGGTATTCTTTTCTGGTAAGTTCTTTGTTTTCATGAAAAGGCTCTCTGGATCTCAGAGTATATTCGTTTCAAGATAATTCAGTTTGAATTCACTCATGCTCAGAAGTCTGCTGAAAAGCCCTCCTTAAAGTTTTACAGTGTATGTTTTATAGGCAACACGTACCTGATGAATTTTGAAAAGTCTTTTATATGACACCAGTTTAAATAATCAGAGCTGGGTTTCCAAAGCCTTCATGGTTCTGTCACATGGAACCTATAATTAATAGCAATGATATTTTAGGGAAAATTTTAATAACAAATCTTCCCTAACACTATTAAGAGGCAGATGCATAGCTGTGAATTTTGGGTTGAGGGGATTAAGCTCCAAATGAATTTTTCTTTTTGTAAGCTTTCTTGCAGTTTAGATATGCTGCCATCAGGTGGTAGTAATATGTTATATCCATGTGGCTCCACGGATGACATTATACTGAAGGTCACCAGTTTACCCCACAATGATTTACAATCATGAATGTACAGATTTTTATATAAAAAGTAAAATAACAAAGTGAAATAATAGTATATCTATTTCATATCATATATAAGGATACTTTGAATGAAACTTTAAAAACATATATATTGGAAGATTCAATTGGATCTGTTTTCTCTATTCCTAGTTTACCTGTTTGTTTATTTATTTAGTAAATGAAGAATTTTATGCCTTCCAAAAGTTTAGAACATATAGAAAAATAAAAGCATCAAATTTTATCATTTAAAAATAATTGCTACTAACCTTTTGTTTTATTTTCTTCCAGTCTTTTTTTTTTAATATGAAATTTTTAGTATGCTTTTTTTTTTGAAGTACAGTTCAATGGCAGAAAATGGTACTTTATAGTAAGAGTGTATATTCAGCATATATCTTTTTTAACTTTTAAAATTACAAGTTCATGGTATCTGCTTTGTGACTTCTTAATATTTCACTTATTGAAGTTTTTCATAATTCTATATAGTCATTTACCTTTTACTAAGTAATGTATATTTCAGGTCTTTGGTCTTCAAGAGTATTTTATCTCTGCCTTTCATACACCACCTATCAAGAAGACCATTATTTCATTGCATCTATATTTGATTTTTGTTTTAACACAAAAGAATTTCTAATTTATCTCTGAGTAGCTAGATATCTTGTATCTCCTCTATTGCATTTGAAATAAAACTTTCAAAAAAACTGAACTTTCAGTTTCAATTATGAATGAAAATATATAGGATCTTTATTAATTTTTATATCATATGAATGTTTTATAATTGTATAAATTGTATCTAACCAAGTACCACATATAAACATTTCAGGGCCTGTGATATTATGAGATGGAGCTATTACCTACTTTCTACAAAAATAATTTTTTCTTTTTTTTTTTATAGCATAGATCATTGCATTAAAGAAATACAGTCCAAAGTTAAGAAACAATGCCCAGATGTGAAGCTACAGACAACAACTGACTGTTTTGAATGGTTAAATAACTATAGTTTTAATTCTTCCAAGTCACCTTCTATTCCCCATGAAGATTTGATAACATTTCTCAAAACACTGGTAAAAAATTTTTTTTGCTTTATAGTAGAGTAGGTTGGGTGAACAAAGGATACAATTCATTCAATTTCTATTTATAAATATTTATTGTGACCATATTTGCCTGCCACATCTAGGGGTTGGGGTTTGTGTTTTGTTTCTGTGTCCCCAATGTAATTCGGTGAGCTATTTGTTTTTATTTTTTTTTCTATTATTTTTATCAATAAAATGAAGTTTTATATAAATGAAGATTACACGTAACTCTTGGGGGATTTATGATGTGATGTATACCACAAAGTATATATATATGTACCACAATTATTTACCAGAAAAGTTTATATTTATTGCATTTTGTGTTCCTTCACTACTCATTTTCTCTGAGCTCATTAGTAAGCATGATAAGATCACCATTGACTATATCTATTAACTAGCATTGTCTGTCCATTCTCTTCATCCCCAACCTGCAGGTATATCGGGTTCTTTTCAATCAAGGCAGCAATTTATATGAAACCACTGTTAATTGGTGGATAATTATTACATTGATCATTTTTTGATACTAACCACTCTCTATATTAAATAAGTTTTTATAGCCTTCAATAAGAACGTTTGTTTTATTACTCCAGTATCTACAAGGGCGGTTAGCTTGCAAAAACAGTTTCCCAAAGAAACAGCGTAAGTGTTAGAAAGCAGTGTTTCTGTAGCTATGGTTTTGATTTAATTTAGGGAAAAAAAGGGGGCACCATTTTTGTCTAAACATCAAACATTGACTAAGGCAGATGTGGAAAATATCTTGAGGTTATAGATGGCTTAGGATGATAGAATCAGATGAAAACAGTTTTTGACTGTTGTTATTATTGCAGATGTTTCTTTAATGTTTACAAAGTAATAAATGGAAGAGAAAGGAAGACCATGTGCCCTGAAGCCTTATTCTTTTAAGAAAATCCTCTCACCCGTTATCTCTTGAAGGTGGAGCCTTGAAGAATAAATATGGATATAGTTATTCCTTTAATTTCTATTAACAGGCATGTGTATTGAATTTCATTAATATTGATGTAATAATGCTTTCTCATTTAATTAAAAGCAAAGCTTTTAATTATCTTTTAATCTGTCTCACATAAGTCATTCTCTATTCACTGCAGGGCAAAGGCCGCCTTAGTTTTGCTCAAATTCATTAGACTGATAGGCTTGTTTGAGACCTAGGGATTTTTTTTACATAATTGATCATGTTATTTTGAGGAAAGACCACATTATTAAAACATCCAGATTGAAATGACCTTATTATCAAGTTTTTACGTGATAAAATTGTCAATCTCGACAGCATTTTTCATACAACTATGTTTTTTTCCAGAAAAACTTTCAATTTATTAATTATCTAGCTGTTTAAATAAGAAACAGAGATCCTTATTATGGCGATTATCCTGAAGTTATTTTCAAAATTTAGCAATTATACTAAGCACATATTTTAAACCTCTGTAGTCTATTATACTTTGCTTGATCAAATATTTACACTTATTGACTAAAGAAACCCAAGATTGCAGCACTAATATGATTCACTTGCTTTATAGAATTTTATATAATACTGATGTTCTGGACTCTAGCTAAGGACATTTCTTTTTGAGAAGTATCAAAAGAATAAAATACATGGAAAAGAGAGAGAAGCTGCAGAAAGGCCAGTGCACTTTGTGCCTCTGTAGAGGGTAGTAGATTGAACGTGGACAAGGATAATGAAGCTGAGGACCCATGCTGAGTTCTACACTTTACTGCATGTGACGTTCAGAAAGTAACTTAAACATGCACTTCAGTGTTCTTACCTGTAGATTGGGTTTTTAAATGTGTATGTTACAGAGCTTACATAATGAATGAGCCAAAGACTGTATGGGAAAGTGCTTTTTATATAATAAAATACTATATACATATTGAGTATTATTTATTAGAGATAGAATATTAAATTAGACATTGAAATGCTTAGAATGACTGAAAGCAAATTCCTGGAATTTGTCTAGTAGTTGTTTCTAATTCTGAATTACACATAATAACCTGTGGTATCTTTGTCAATAGAAAACTTCAAAGCCAGCCTGATTTTATGCCACTTGAACCTTTCTTCCATTTTTCTTTTAACCAGCTTGTTGCTACCTAGAGAATATAAACTAATTTCAGCATTAACAGAAATAGACATAATTAGGAAAGTCAGCATGTAAAGGGAATGTATACATGCAAAATTCAAAGTCCAAAACGGAAGTAATTTTTTGTCCCTTTACTATTCATAATTACACCTACCATTGTTTTCTGTCAGCATGGAAAGTGTAAAGGAATACTTTCATTTCATCTTTTGGGGAATTATTCTGAGAGTATTGTTTCTCTGTTTTGAGTTAGTTATTTCTTTGGAGAGAACTGAAATATTCTCAGATTAATTTCCAAAGTAAAATCTTTCTTAACATGGAATTTAAATGAAAATTAAAGTCTTTGCGTGTGTTAAATGTTATTTCTCAGGATAGCAGCTATTAGTAACCCTTAGGCACATACAACATTTAAAAGTCTCCATTTTGTATGCTCATTTGGAGTTTTATAATAATTATACTCATTCAGGCATGGAAATTATTTACCAGGAAGTAATTGGGGTATGATCTTGAATTTACCTTATTTTAGGAATACAGTATTTCAATTTATGTTTTACTGTAGGTTTTTATTTAGAATTTTTAAGCTGCAGTTTTTATACTGCCTAGGTTATATCAGTGGTAGATAACAATGAAGGCTAAAATCCATATGTCTAGAAATCTAATTGAAAATAGAGTTCATCACCTGGACTTTGCAAAATTGAACGAATCATAAAGCTAACATTCTAAAATGTCTGAATTGATTAAATGTCAACTGCAAAAAAAATCTTGAAGACCATGATAGTATTAATTCTAATTTGAAATAAATTACTATGAAATTTTACATGACTATAGAAATCATTTTTCTGTTACTCCTTTAGTTAATCACATTTCTAACATTGTAATTTCCTTTCATTAGCAAGCTTTGTTGAAGAATGAACAAAATCAAGAAGAACTGATATTGGATTTACTTTGGGATCTCTCCTGCCAGAGCAGCATTTCATTTCCATCAACTCTAAGTGGAACATCTTTCCACTTCCTCTCTAGGACTTCTCTTCATTCTGTTGAAGATCATTCCTCTATGGATGTCAAGTCTATATGGGATGATATAAGACTACATCTTCGACGCTTCTTAGTGAACAAATTACAAAGCCATAATGAAATAAACAATTTGCAGCAAAAAATTTTGTTGAAAAAGCAGTGCATACAACAACTCTTGTTTCTTTATCCAGAATCAGAAGTTATAATCAAGTATCAAAACATACAGAATAAACTGTTGACTAAACTTCTGCAGAACTGCTTTCCTTCTTACAGCAAAGAGTCAAATTTAGACACAATGTTTCATGGATACCAAAGCACAATGCTTAAGTTATACTCAATGATAAAAGAGGATTTTAACACACTGCATGAAATTTTAGCTCCATCCTCAACAGTGAAATTTATTAAAGAAACTTACCTGGATACTGTTACAGAAGAAATGGCAAAATTTCTTGCAAATTTTTGTGAGCTGCAGTTCAAAGAAAGTGCTGTCCGTGTGATTAAAACAAGCAAGAGCTCCAGCAGGCATAGAGGAGCAGTGCATGCTTTGGGTTAGTGATTTTTAAAATCTCTGTTTGGTTTAACTTAATTTGATATCTTTAATTTTCTATTCGGTTAAACCTAATTGCAAACTTGAAGGTAAATAAGAAAATAAATGTTATGAAATTTTGCAGTATGCATTCCTTTTTCTGTAAGTATAGTAATAGAAGTGTTTTCTTTCCTGTTATTTAAATTATTAAAGATAATGGAAATGTAAGTCAAAAGTATTGCCAGTAAGTGATTTTTTTTAATTGCATAAATTATTCGGTGAAACTGTGTGTATGTGTACATATACATATACATATAAACATGCATATAGTCAATAATATATATGTATTATATATATGTGGTATATATACTAGAAAAGTATAATTTTAACCCATTTTAGCTTCCAAAGCTGACGTATTATTAAGTAAAAAGACTTGTTGAAAATTTGTTGAAATTGACATTAACTAAAATTGGAAGTTTAAAATTATAATATTTCAGTCAGCCAATTCCAATCAAGAGCTATTATGAAATACTAAATATAAAATTCTATATTATAATTGGTTACGGAGGCAATACATTTTAACTATAGCTGATTTTTAATGTTTTTTTAAATATTATTTTTATAAGAATATTTACATATAAAAGATGATTTGAAAAATGCCTACTTTTAGTCAAAGATAAAGACAAACTACTGTGATGCAGTAAACTATTTCTTGTCATTTAAATTTCCCACCAGTGGAGAAAAATCAATGTAAAAATATATATAATTATTTTGAAAATTACGAGTAAGCACGCTTTTACATAAAACTCTGGCGTTTCTAAACAGGATCATAAACTATGCTTTTTGAAAAAAAATAGTATTTGAAAACTATCATTTGGTGAATTGCTGTCTTTGACTTCATGATCACTTTATACAAATTTATATAGCTAACAATATTTTTGCTTACCTTCCTTAATGAAATGCAGGAATACTAAATTACTCTGATATATGACTTTTCAAATATTTTAATGTTTTCTCTTGAAGTTTTTATTTTCCCCCAGAAAGTGTATCACATCACAGAATAGAGCTGCATCAGCCAATTTTAGGTTGTGGCAGAACACAAAGTATGTTAATTTAGGCACAGTGCAATTTTGCTTAAAGCAAATATATTTTCATTTTAATTGTTAACACAAATTTTAAATGCACTACATGAATGTACTTATTTTCTGAAATTTTTATATTCTCTAAAAGAATTTCTGCTTACTTATAAAGTGTTTTTGATGTGAAAGTTTTATATGTGCTAAATATAGTTTATAACAGAAGAAAAGATCCATATGGTTGAAAATATGTTTAAGTTGCTATGGAGTCTTTAAGGCTGATATTGAGATGTTTTCTCATTTGTGAGAGAAAACTATGTGTGTCGGCTTTAATACCAAAATTTGAAACATTTTTCCCCAAGTCCAGGTGCACTGATCTTTCTCAAGATCCTTTATCTGAACTTTGGTATAAATCACTTGTTACGTGAATGAGTTCCATATGTCAGGCACTGTGCTAAGCATATTACATTCTTTATTATCCTAATTTCATAAACAAAGCAAGAAACTTAGACTAACTTGCCCTGGATCACGTTGTACAGAGGCAGGATTCATATGCAAGTCTTTGTGTCTCTAAGACTCGTGTTTTCAAACACTGTGCTATTGGACCTTTTCTGAAAGTGTATAATTAAATGTTTGTCATTTGTAAAAGACATGTTAAACAGTACTGTTTGGGTGGGCTACCTGAAAATCTACTCAGTTCAGCTCTGTGGGGCACCTATCATAATAAGCAAGTCATTTAGCAGCTATAGTGTTTAAGGTATTAAGCTAGACACACAAAGGGAAAGAAAAACCAAATGAGTAATTTCTGCTAATGCTGTACATACTGTCAACCAACTCCAATTTGATCAACATTACTAATATTTGAACCATGACCAGATTTTATTTATTAAGGAAATACAGTTTAATATGAGCAAAATGATGACAATTTATTCATATTTATTGATAAAATTACAATAATTTATATTCATATTTTAATAAAATTTAGATTGCTTTGAATGGGTTGCATGTTATATTATCTTTAGTATATGTCTATATCTTTATGCTCATCAAGTCTGATATTATTCTGAAACTAAAGAAAGACATTCCTTTTTGTTGTTGTTGTTAATCCTCATCCAAGGTTATTTTTTCAATGATTTTCAGAGAGAGTGGAAGTGGGGAGGGAGAGAGAGAGAGAAAGAAACATTAACGTGAGAGACACATGGATTGGTTGCCTCCCGCACAACCCCCACCAGGGCCAGGGATCAAACCTGCAACCCAGGTACACGCCCTTGACTGGGACTCAAACCCAACTTTTTGGTCCGGGGGCAGCTGTTCTAACCACTGATCCAAACATGCCAGGGCAGAAAGACATTTCTTAAGTAACAATAACTAACATTTATTGGGTCAGACATTGATGTACATTATCACATTTAACCCTTCATTATCTCATCTACTCAACCAGGTAGGTGCCATTATTTATTATCTATATTGTATAGTGAAGAAACTAAAGCATAGAGATATTAAGGAATTTATTCAAGGTTCCAGAGCAAAGCCAGTATTCAGACCCAGGTCTGTCTTACTCCAGAGCCCTTCCTCTGACAATGTTTTACTGCCTGAAAGAACAGGATGGAAATCCACATTCCCTGAAAACACTGTTTTGTATGCTAACTCTACTTTAGGGTCATCATTGATTTACTTTTCTTGAAACTCTTCTCCTTTGAAGACTACATAATGCCAATTTGAAAGCTTTTGGTTAAAATTTCTATTTTGTAACCTATTGATAATCTTAAACAGGCCTTAATCTTAAACAAGTATGTAAGCTAGCCCTTTTGTTTCAATGTTTATTGAGATATAATTCACATCTAACATTGTGTAAGTTTAAGATGCACAGTGTGTTGATTTGATACATTTATATATTGGGAAATGGTTACTACTGTAGCATTAGCTAATAATTCCATCACTTCACATAATTAGCATTACTTTTTAATGGTGAAGAGAACATTTAAGATTTACTCTCTTAACAACTTTCAAGTATATAATATATTATTGCTAACTATAATCATGAGTCATACATTTGATTCCCAGAACATACTCATCTTCTAACTGGAAGTTTATACTCTTTAACCAACAGCTCTTCTTTTTCCCCATCCCCCACCCCTGGGAACTCTCTTTCTACAAGTTCAGTTTTTTTAGATTTCACATATGAGTGATAGCATACATTATTTGTCATATGACTTATTTCTATCAATTTCCACCCATGTTGTTACAAATGGCAGTATTTCCTTCCCATAGCTGCATAATACTTGTGTGTGTGTGTGTGTGTGTGTGTGTGTGTGTACGTATTTCACAAATCTTAATCCATTCATCTGTAGACAGACACTTAGGTTGCCTCTATATTTTGGCATGTATGATGCTTATTATATTGAGGTATATTTCTTTTATATTCATTTTGTTGAGAGTTTTTGTCATCTATAGAAATCATATGATTTTTATTTTTCATTTTATTAATGTGTTGTATCATATTTATTGATTTGCATATGTTGAACCATCCTTGCATCCCAGATAACTCCTTGATCATGGTCCTTTTAATGTGCTATTGAATTCTGTTTGTTAATATTTTGTTTAGAATTTTTGCATCTGTGTTCATCAAGCTATTGGTCTGTAATTTTTTTTTTTTTTTCATTTTCATTTTAGGGTTCTTAGTTGGTTCTAGTATCAGGATAATGCTAGACTCTTAAAATGAGTTTGGGAATGTTTCCTCCTCTTTGGTTTTTTTGAAAAAGTTTGTATACTAGTCTTAATGAGCTAATGTCCCATCTGTTTATGCATATATCTACCATGTTCTCAATGAGCTAGACAATTTGGACATACTGATTTTTCAGTGAATTAAAAATTGGTTGTTCTTCCCTGAATGATCTGTAAATTATCTATCTACACACATATATATAAATATATGCATGTTTATAGTTATGGTTATAATATATACAGAAAGAGTATTATTTGAGCATTAAAAATAACAATTGCTACTTATTATTTTGTATAAGGTTTTACATATGAGTGCATTTAATCTTCCGAATAGCCCTTCATATTATTCATATTTTAAATATGTAAACTGAAGCTCATAAAGGTAAATATTTTCCAAGGCCACACAGCTAATAATCCACAGAAAGATGATGTCTCTGTTTGTAGTTAGTTATAGAAGCTTGATGTACTGCTAAACTCCATGACAAAAACTGTGCAAGGCACTATGATAATTAGCAAAAAAATTTTCCCGACCTGGTCAACTAGTTCAGCTGGTTAGAGAGTCATCCCGATATACCAAGTCTGTGTGTTCGATCCCTGGTCAAGGCACATACAAAAATCAACCAATGAACCCATAAATAAGTGGAACAACAAATTGATTCTCTCTCTCTCTCTCTCTCTCTCTCTCTCTCTCTCTCTCTCTCGTTCCATCACATTTTTTTTTATTTTAAACTTTCTGTTTTCTATTCTCATTAATTGTTTTTGCTTTCCTTTTTTATTGACAATGAGTCATAACTGACTCATGATTTGCTTGTGCTTATTAACAAAAATTACTGACTAGGTGCAGCTTTTATGCAGTTTTATTTTATTTTACCAGCAATCCTTTCTGTAGTGGTGTTCACCTGGGCACCCCAGAGTGAGTTTCACCTGCAACCATGTAGTTTGGTGTTGACTCAGGCTCTTCTGTACATGTATTAAAAATATGGTGACAGTCTCTCTAACCATTTTCCTATGGTCAAGTATCAGACAGACTATTTTATTTACAATAAGCTTATCCCTTGATTTAAATTATACATTTGGCATTGTATAGTAACCTTTATTTGCCTTTATATTCATGTGATTTTGAATGCTTTATTTTGGGGTGAGTGTGTGCTATTTTGGTATTATAATACATTCAGAAGTGTATAGCTTGTATATTTTAATGTTTGAGGAAGATGATGAAACA